CCTGAGCCACCTGAAGCTGCCAGCCAAGCCGCCCTCAATGTGTCTCCTACAAACAGGAGCTGTCCAGCCCCAGCCCCTTGGGCTCCCCATTCTCCCCATGAGCCCTTTGGGGGCAGAGTCTATTCAGGACACGGGGTGTTTTCAGCTGTTGGCCTTGTCTGGTACTTTCTCTGCACCAAGCCAGGCATCGGCCATGTCTCCGAGGGGCCTGGTTGCTCTTAGAGAAAGGTGGTCAGAAGGTGGACCTAAGTGCCAGGCGTGTTCATTGTGCTTGGGCCTGAGCTGCTCCGGGCCCTTGGTGGGCAGAGAGGGAGATGAGTGTGGGCATACTGTGCGCACGATATCCAAGTTCATTTCTGTATCGCTCTACCTTGACTAAAACCCAGGGGTTACCACCACTTCAATTCTGGTCCCCAGCAAAGGGTTCATTCTGCTTTCCTCACTTTCCATACAAAAGTGACAGTGAGAAGCCTGCTTTCCAGTACCCTAAATGTATTTCCTTAGGTATTCTTCTCCCAGTACAGAGTCAGCCTCCCACTGTGGGCCACCCCCCTCATTCACTGGAGCTGACTCCCATCCCTGCCTGGACACCCTTTGCACCCGAGGCTGTCCCCTCAGCAGGCTGCCCTCTGTATGGACACTCCACAGGGCTCTGCAGCCCTCCACCTCTCCACAGAGCCTATCTTGCTCTGCTTCACATAATGGCTTTAGGACTGTTGAGGATGGGAAAGTTAAAGGCTAAAGAGCCAATTTAGACAACACTGCATGTGAACAGGTTGTTAACGGGGAATGGTCGGACTGCAGGTGGGAGTGACCATCACCGGCACTGGAATCACCCCTCCTCCCCGGTTCCTTTACAGCTCCGCCAGGTTCTGCTGCTGCCGTTGGGCTGGGGCACGGGACAGCTGCTCACTGCTTTGAAGGGGTGGGGCTGCCCTGTTAGCTCAGCTGCCTGGCACTAGGGGGAGCCCACCACTTGGGGAGCTCGGCTGGAGTTGGGAGTCATGGAAGCCTGGCTCCTAGCTGCCCACCTGCTGTGATCTGGGGTCATCCCGTGAGCTGGGGCACATCTCTCACAAACTTTAAGTACAGTGAATTTCTGACCTTAACACAAGTTGCAGTGTCTTTGTAATAATTCCCAGGCTTGCTTTAGTAATAGATGTCAGTTACTTGGTAGACTTAATGTCCTTTCCTGAGCAGTCCAGGGACCATCAGTCAGTTCAGGACCAAGTTTTTGCAAGGTCTGTATTAATTTTCACATGAGATGCCCCAGAATCAGTTACTGAATAGGAAAAGGCAGACTTGGCCAAGTTGTGTGCCTGGCCCTTGTCAGAAATAGCTCCTTCACCTCCCCACCTCAAGGGCTGACACTGGAGCCCACTTTGGACTGTTTTTTCTGGGGGTAAGAGGGGGGCTCATGGTTTTATAACAAGAATTATCTTTACCAGACTCCTCGGAGAAATGGCCTATTGCTGGATGGTGCAAAGCAATAATTAAGGACCTATGAGGTTTAAGAAGTTTGACCCAAAAGTAAAAGGTTGTGGGTTCTGTTTCTTCTTTTACACATGTGAACACAACGGCCACTCGGATCCCTTCTCCATTATGGAGGAAGGAATTGTGTAGAAGGGGGAGGACTTCTGGCAACTTGGAGTGGTGTAAATCCCATTTGACTTGTTGAAATGTCTCCAGCTGTGCACCGAGACTTGGTCTACAACTGTCCAGTGAAAACTGTGTGTGTGAGTCACGTGTGTTGTAAATGCTTTCCTCCACGTATCGGCTCCCCACACACATGTCTACATTGTTTCAAATACTTGGTTAGAGTGAATAGATTGGGTTTCACTGGTCAATAAGGCTTAGACTTCTAGACTCTGCCTAGTGAACAGATGATAAACGAAACATCTTTAGATGCTGGCACATCTGTGGAGCATCTGCTCCCAGCTTGTTAGTGTGAGTCCAGGATTGGAGGCAGGAAAGCCTGCTATAGGCCTGGCCCTGAGATTACTCTGAGGCCTGCGGTGGGTGCACTGAGTGGCATTACGGACTGTGCCTGGGTGAGAGAGACATTCAGGAGAGGAAAGTGGAGACTTGCTAATAGCCCGGAACCTCACAGCCTCTCTTCCCAGACCGGTGAGAGCAGCCGGCCAAGAGTTCCCCTCAGTGCCTGGGGGGTATAGGGGGGATACATCTGGATGGCTTAGCACAGAACTCACTGGTCCCATCAGCCAGGCACAGCTGTCTGGGCTGCTAGCAGAATCTCACTGGCTATACTACTCTGCCTGGTGCAGTTTGTTTCAGGGGACAGCGGCTCAGCCACGCTGCACAGCGTGGTGGAGGAGTTGGTCCGATTCCGGCTCAAGGTCCGGCAGTTCGCCCTGGCTACGGGAGAGGCTACCAAGGAAGCCCGGCGGCAGCTCCTAGAGAGGCAGCCCCTGCTGGAGGCATGTGACACCCTGCGCCAGGACCTTGCCGCCCACGGCATCAGTATTAAGGTGAGCCACTGCCACCGAGGCCCAGTGACAATGGGGATGACCACCCTGAGATGCTGGCATCACGCAAACATGGGGGAGGGTCCAAGCTCAGACATCCCCTGCGCTGATGCTGCTGGTGAGCACAGATACCCATCCTGTGACGAAAAAGAAGGGGATGGGGCCAGAGCCAAGAGGACACTGAGGTGGAGGGACCTGGGAGAGGGTCAGAGTCAGAACCTAGAGGGAGACTGTGGCCCCGGGACGTGTACTCAAGCACCTGGGTGCTCACAGAGCAGAGCAGACCTGTGCTCTTGCCCAATCCTTTCCTGACCCAAGTGGCCTTGCCCCAGCCTGACAATGGAAGGCAGCAGCTGACCGTTTCTAAGCATCCAGCTGCTTCCTCTAGTGTGGCCCAGACCCGTGGACACAGCAGGCAGTGCCTCCTGTTACTCTGAGCCCTGACTCTCTCACCCATTTACTCCTTGAGCCTGCTCAGCCGGGACCTTTTTCCTCCCCCACCCCTAGGACAGAAGCAGCACATCCACATGGGAACTGCTGGGTCAGAGGTCAGAAGACCACAAACCTGGGAGCTGAGGATGCGTGAAGCGGGAACCACAGGCTCACAATGCGGCTCTGTGCTTGCTTAAGTCCCTATAGAAGCTTTACATTAAAGTTTTCCATTGTGACTATTTAGTCAACATTAAAATAAGTCAAACTGATACCATTCCATTGGTGTGTTAGTAACTATGTTTAAAAATGGATTTCTTTATAGTACCAACAGCCACAGACTCAAGTGCAGTTTAGTTAAATCAGCCAACATTATCATCTGTGATATAACCCAACCAGCCTGTGTCCCTGAGCCAGAACCCAGGAATTTAAGTTGTAAATGGGGGTCCCAGAAGACGCCATAGGAAGGTAGGTGGGACCTGTGAGTGGGGCCAACAGGGCAACAGCTTCCAGGACAGCCCTTATCCCAAGAGGATCTTGTGGGGATGTGGCCATGCTGCCTGCTCCAAAGCAGGAGGAAACAGCCTGTACCTCAAGTGCTGGGCAGTGATGAACCGGGGGATGGTCACTCTGGAGGAGTGGGACAGCAGGGGTGCGAGCAGGACATAGAGGTGTGACAGAGGAGGCCAACGCCAGGAATTAATTCAAGCACACGGCAGACTACCTGGGACTGAGCTTACTGGCCTGATCTCAGTCCCCTCACCTTTCTGCACAGGTGGGGAGCTATAGCTGTTTGGTTAACCACAGGAAAGAGGGTGATCCTCTTGCCAATTCCCCCAACTTTCAGGTCCTGGGTGGGTGCAGCCTCAGGCAGCAGGTAAGCACACACTAGGCAGAGTTGTGGATAGCTTGGTGTGGCTCTGCAGCCATGTTTACTTTGTCACTGACATTCATGACCCTCAAAGGCATTTCTCTTCTATAGATAAGGAAACCTGTTTGGAAGCTGACACGCTAAAAGTGACTCAAGTAGTGCATAGTGCATGATAGAGTGCAGACCCAGGTGGCAGGCAGGCCCTTTACAGAGAGACATCCAAACAGGTCGAATCAGTACTGGGGAAGCAGACTGTCCCCTGTTGGCCGGATGCCTAACTTGCCCACCAGCAGTTCGGTGCTGCTTTCCTGGTCTCAGGGAAGCTGCCAATAAGTGTCCTTAGCTGGGCTTGTGAGGATGCTCGGGTTTACGGAAGAACAAGGAAGCAATTACTAACTTCATTTAAAAGTATCAGTCCCTGGCTACTTGGGTATATCCTATCTCCCTTTTAAGCAGATATTTTGTACTTAGAGCAAAAACTTAAGTAACAAATACACAGGAATAGTTCCTATGACTGCTAAATTTCATTTACATGTAAAGAAATGGTGACATTTCAGGCTTATGCTTCAAATTATTTACTTTAGTAATATTGGTAAAGCACTGGTAAAAAAACATTAGATAGATAAGCTTATATATGTTTATGTCCCTAATACCTAACAATTTCCTCAACTTAGGAAGCTGAAAGATGGGTTTTGGCTACTTAAGAAAAAAATAAAAACTCTACATTGAAATAAACCAGGTCTCCCTTTTAATAATTAAAAGTTCATGGCTGGTTTAAAGAAAGTAAGATCTGTTTGGGGTGACATATCTGAACCACAGAGCTTCACCCATGTGTAATCATCAGGGCAGACAGACTTTTAAAGGAACCAGCATTACTCAACAGTAAGAGAACACTCAAATGCATGTGTTAGGAACCAAAACCCCCACGGAGAAATGGCGACAGAAACAAGTCTCTCAGGCCACTAAGAAAACAACCCACACAACCAAACAAAAGTGAACCAGAGGCAACAAGACAACAAAACATCTCATTTACAACGATTTCAGATATATCAACTTCTTTAATAGAATCTAAATCTTCCTGAGGACATACCCACCCATTTCCCCCATTTTCAACCCAGAAAGCCTACTGTTCTCTATTCAGTCCCCCCAGGGCCCCATCATCCTGAAGCCGTCCTCCCAAGAGAACACACCAGTGGCCACATCAGGAACAAGGCACCCCACCCACTCATGCACACTCTGCTGGGCCCCGCCAGCCACCACACATACTTGTGTGCACAGGCATGAAAAAGTGCAAGTGTAAGATACAAGGTATTCCAGAGCTCCCACCAGGGCATTCAAGTATCAGTGTCCCATTAAGTTTCCTTCTTGGATTTTCCCATGGTGCCTCCAAAAAAATTTCCAAGGTCAAACTGATTACTGATTATTCTGAATACTTTAACCAATTAACCCAAACAGCCAGTACTTAGTATTTCTGCTCAGACCTTTTCAACATAATCACAGTTTGAAAAATAAAAATTAGCTAAAGTAAATGCCACATCCTTTGGTGGATCTCAATTTAAAAAAAGCAAATCTCATTCTCAAAGCTATTTGGAAACGAATGGCTGGATCCCTTTGAGAGAACTATCTAATAAGGGGAACTTCTTGCACAAATGCCTACAAATTCAGTTGAATTGGTTAAAGACTTTCTCATTTTCAAATGATTCTCAGTGTTTTTGTTATTGCTGGGAGTACTTTGTTTAGTGTCATAATGTCTCAAATTGCATATTAATTTAGCCAAAAATTGCTCATTCCCAGTTCTTACATTCTCTACATCCACCCATGTAGCCTAGACTCCAAGCCTCTGAAGCAGCCTGTGCTGCTCCGATACCCAGAAGATTCAGACATATGGACGTGGCCTTTCCCATTACAAATGCTATTTCTCCCACCATGGTGCTCACGTTCTTCTCGTTTGCATCGGCTCAGGTTTCAAAGAGTCTGTTGAATGCAGGTCTGATTTCTGCGATCATGTCTGAGGTAGTGGTGGAGCGGCCATGCTTCTGGAAGGCTTGGTGGTTGCACTGCCTTGTGAGGGAGCACGCACCAAAGGCAGCCACGAGGAGAGGGCTGAAACTGCAGGGCAGACACATTAGCAAGGCGCTGTGGGAGGTGGAAGTCCTCCCTCCACGGCTTTGTCAGACATCAGGGTCCTGAAGCCACCAAGGCACTGATTTCCTTCCTGTTTCCACTCGGAGACCCCAAATTGGCAATTTCTCGTCTGATATGCCACTGAGGCATAAGGCAGCTATACTACAGTTAAAATAACCATTAATCCTCTGATACCGATATTCCCTGACAAAAGCCATATCAAAAATACCTATCCAACTGGAGGAAGGTTAGAACAAAGCATTTTCCCTGGTGAAAACCAGACCAGGACTTGTTGATGAGAGTTTAGAAGTAGGGAATATTCCAAATCTGAGAATGCAGGTTCTTCCTAACATTGTTAGACTTCCACTGTCGCTCCTTCCCATGTGCACACATGGACCCGTTTGGGGACTGCTCCCTGCCTGCCAGGTGTGCTGCAACCTCACAGGCCCGACACTGCTTTTCCAGGTGTCAGGCAGGGCCCTCCAGACCCAGGACGTCCCATCCTGGCACGTGTGGCCATCTATCATCATGAAGGGTGCAGAGAAGAGAAACTGAGGCTCACAGAGGGGTAGGAACTGCCAGAGTTCACTCATAAGCTAAGAGCAGAAGTGGGTCAAAGCCCAGATCCTAGAATTCTGCTGCCTCTTAAAGAAAACTCGTCTCTCAAGACAGCATCAAGGTAAGCTCTACCTTCACCTGCATATTTTTTATTTTGTTTTATAGTAGGTATGCAACGAACCTTCTAGAACAGTGTCCTCAAACTTGGCTGCACATTAGAATTATCAGGATAGCTTCAAAGGCTAGGGCTGCCCCAGACCCCTTTGGTATCAAATGATGGAAAGGGGCCCAGATTTAAGTAAAAACTCCCCAGGTGAAAATTTGGGGATCAACCCCTTGAAATATCTTCCACGTAACAGTAACACCAATATTTCATTTGGAACATTCCAAGAAGCTATTTATGAAACGTATGAGCTACTAAAATAGCTTACATAGTTCAAAAATTTCAAAGTGGGAGAGATGAAGATGTGGTATACCCATTTGTTTTCTCAGGTCCGGCGTGGAGTGCCCACTGCACTAGAACACCCAGGAATCCCGACAGGAGGTCACCTTGCCCACCACATCTGCGGTTACTGCCCTGTAGGTTGCACTCGAGAACTGCAGAGCAAAAGTGAGATGGGTGTTAGAGTGAGTGGCTTGTCTCTGCTCAAGGTGTGTTCCAGGTCATCTACCCTAACCCTAACCCTGATTGCTCTTAACAAGAAAGCCTGTATTTTACAGGAGAGGAAACTGAGGCAGGCAGGGGTCTGGCTGCCCCAGAACCACCTGTTTAGTATCGTGGTAAGTGGACACATGACTCAACCACTGAGGGATCTGCTGATAGAGATCAGAGAAGAACATGCACAGCACGTATGGGCCCTCAGTCCTGCAGGACACCTCACACTCCAGAGAATCCACCTTCAATAACATGCACACAAAGCTGGCGCCTCCTGAATGGGCTAATCCTCATGACTTCATTTCTGTTGTGTAATGAGAAATTTCTATTTCTTTGGAAAATGTCTTGGAAACAGGTTGTTATATGTTCTGAATGTGTGAGAGCACCATCCAGCAATAAAAGAACACAAAGGTTTCAGGATCCCTCAGAGAACATTCACTCCATCTCCTGCCCAGCATGCGAGAGACAAAGTAAGACACAGGTGACTAAGGATGCCTTCTGTTCTCTGTTGGCCCTGATTTCTGTGATCTAGTCAGCAACTCTATACCTAGGCGACTGTTCTTTGTATTAAATTCTGTTAAAATAACTGGTGAATTTTTGCCTGTGGATCAGATTTTTATGTTTTCAGGGAGCTAGAGATGTTATACAGTCTCTGGTTATGAACATCATTGTGTAGATATGAGCAAGTGTGACAGCCCATCTTGCTCTCACTAAACGGTCCACAGACTCCTATGGAAAGAATGTGACCGGAAGATTTGTCACATTCATCACCTGGAGATTTCCACTAGTGTCAGCTCCTGGGGTTTCTTCACTTTCCTGTCATTTTTATAAAATAGGACAAATGCAGTAAAATATTCAAGTAACTTCATGTATGTTGCAGGCAAGACAGAGGTGGCAGGGTGTGAACTCTGGAGCACCATCTGCTGTTACAGCCACCTTCCCATTGGGCTGCTGCTTATCAATCGTTAACAGAACTTTAGCCACTGCACCTGGTATCAACTAGGATCATCACTGATCCTGGTATTACCTCCCTTTGCAAAATAGTGAAATATGAAAATGGACTTTGAAGAA